AAGTTGCAGTTGCAGTTGTCGTTGCTTTCGTGAGAAGCGCTATGTTAAAGCATTAACTAATTAAGTTGCAATTAAATGTTTTTAATAGCCAACTCTAGACTCCATTTTCCTGCCGTTCAGTTCACCCCTTTTGAGAGCCCAGCTGCGTACCAGGTATAAAACTACAAAATGCGTGGCGTCCAAATGAGGAGCGCGCCTCATTAAAGCGCGCACGGTCTGTGGGGCTATTACCAAAAGACGTGCAGGCTCACAACGCGAAATGCAATTGCAGCAGAAAACCGAAAAAAAGCTTAAAAAAAATAAAACATTTTTTAAAAAAATTTTAAAACATGGCAAAATCTCAACATGCCAATCCGAAGTTTAAAATGCTCTTTAGAATTTATTACTTGTGCAATTAGCAACATTTTTTCTTTTTGTCTTGGTTGTTTATAAAGTGTTTATAAAATGATCAAAATTGGTTTAAGTTAGTTGTTTTTTAATTTTATTAAAACTTGCATGTATTTAGCCCCCAAATAATTAAAAACTCAAATAAAAGGGGCCCAAAAAAACTGGAAAAACCATTATAGCTAAGTTTTTAATTTAATTAAAATATATTGATCTTTAGAGTTTTTTTTCTCAAACTCAGGAGTATTTTGATTAATAAACGACAGGCATATTAGTTTGTGGTCCAGTTTAAGCTATGTACATATATAGTTAGATAGCTTATTGGGCCCTGGCAATGTTGCAAACTTCACGACATAGCACAGTTTACCTCTAAGTTAGAGTATGCAACTGCAACGTCCTTCTGGGCCGTTCGTCGCGTCGTCGTCGACACAGGGCTGCGCGCATGCGCACAACACATGCCGTGGGCAGTTGTTGTTGTTGTTGTTGCGGTTACTGCTGTTGTTGTCGCTTTTGTTGTTGCTGCTTTTGTTGTGCGCTGCCTTTGCCACTGCTGCAATAAACGTCAAAATGCGGCCCATTGCTGTCCATTTCATCAACGTGTGAAATAAATCACTCAAAGTGCTGCAGATCCATTAAGGGCACCAGCAATGAGCAGAGCAGAGCCCGTCGTCGCAGTCGCTGCTGACGCGCACCCGTCGCGTCGCATCGCGTCGCAACGCGTCGCGTTTTGTGGTAAATACATTTTTAGCATTTTGTCTGCTGATACCTTTGGGTGTTGTACAAGACGGCGACTGCTGCAACAATAAAGACGCAAGCACAGGCTGCATGCCACTGGCCACGCTCAGCTTTGCCTTGTTTTTTTAGTTTTTTCTTTTTTGTATTTTGTATTTTTTCATTTTCCTTTTTACTGCTGCTGCTTCTGCTTCTGCTGCTGCTGTTGGCCATGTCCGTATCCATTGGCTCATTGCATGTTGTTCACCTTTTGCAATTTCATTTCATGTTTGCAACTGCAACTGGCTCGGCCTGTGTCTGGTTTTATGATGATTTCTGGCGTGCTACGCGACTTGGGCACATGCAAAATTCCAAATTACATTTCATTGCTTAAATTCAATTAACGGTAAGGTAAGAAATGCGAAATGCTATCAAAAATAACAACAACAAAAATAACAAGAGCCTGCTGTTGCGCTTTCGTTCTCAACTGCAATAGCAGCAGCTGAGGCTGAGGCTCAGACTGAGGCTAAGGCCGAGCACAGTTGGCCATTAACTCAGCCCAATTCAACCCAACTACAAGTCAAGGTAAGCGCAATCAACAAACAAGTAGCCGCCCGGCGAGTAGGTAAACAGAAAGTTGATTGAAAGTTTCAGCAAAGTGCAGCTGGGAAATGAAACCCAACTAAGTGAGATACAACAGCAAAACGAGAGTGAGACGATGTCTGTGTAGGAGCCTGACCAGGCTGCCAGAACTAGCTCGAGCAAATAAACTAACAGATTAAATGTAAAACAAGTTAGCAAAAGTCATAACTTGTTCGCATATGCTACGAGCATGAGTGATGTATGTTGGTAAAATTAATTCATACGCAGCAATTGGATTATGTTGAGGCATACGAAACATTATAAATGACTAGATAAATTGTAAGTCTAATATATTATATTTCTAAATAACCAAGTCTATCATTTTTTTAAGAATATGTAAATTAAATGAATCTATATTTTAATATACAGTTAAGTTTAAAAAATTATTAAGTTTAAAAAATTATTTATGGCCCCGAAAATTATACTATATTAATTTGTCAATTTCGAAAATAAGGTAATTTTTTTTTTATTTCTGATATTTTACTTATTTTTACACTTAATTAATGTGGATTGTACAATATACACACACAAACACATTTGCATTACATATGCCGCAACGCTGCAATTACTAACAGAATTCAAGAACGTCGCCGTTAATTGGTCATTGGAATCCCCTGAGGGGGCGGCGACAGAAATATTTTTGAGCTATTGTTGCGCAATTTGGAGACATTTTGCAATACTGTGGAAGCATTGTCATTAAGTGTAAATAATTGCCATAATTTGCACAGAACAAAACGCAATTATAATGCAGTTATTGAGGCATATAAATCTTATAGGGATTCTTTCTACTTAATTAGTTTTAATGTCCCCCGCACAAACAAAAGGGCATAACTAACAATTAAGCTCGCATTGCTCAACCGCAAAATACATATGCATACATGTATGCATATTGTGTCTTGAAATTTATATACAGACATGTATTTGTAAGCAAGTATGGCGCATAAATCTTAATTACGCTTCGTCGAGCGTAAATCATCATCAGCTGCAGAGTTTGCTGGCAAAATTGATTCATGCACAGCAATTTCGCCAGAAAACTCTTTGAGGGAATCTTCTTTTACTGACTCCCAACTAACTTTGACAATTTGGCGGCATTTTCTTCTTCCTCTCTGTTTTTTTTTTTTTTGCATATTTTTTTTATGACCCACAGACTGTGTGACGACTCTGAGCTTTGAGGATATTTAACCCATCAAGTGGCATGGAATTTCTTTTACAGTCCCATTCAAAATATGCCTCATTCCATTAGCATTTTATGGCTGATAATTGTTGACAGTAAATCAAATGCGAAACTGGAAATATACACACACGGAAAAAACTAATAGGGAAGGCAAATGAGGTGCGATAATGCTTAGAAGTGGGGTAAAGAAAAAAGGAATCTACAATTTATGACTGAAGCTAGAATAAAGGAGAAATAAAGTAGATGAAACGGAAATACTAGCAAACCTTATTTATTGTTAGCGATATGCTAGTTGGAGTTCTGCCAAAGACGAGCATGTGTTAACAAGGCGCACATGTTGCTAGTGAAACGTTCACGAATGCGACTCAAAGAGAAATGGGAAAAAAAGCACAGTTGCTATAACGCTGAAGAATGCGGCATACAAATGAATCGGAATGAAAAAACTAAGCATCATTTCGAATCGATGCATATATAAAACGTTTACGAATGCAACATATAAGAATTAGAAATGCGTATGTTCTTGAGCGATTGCTGCTTCTCTGTTATTAATTTTTATTTCAAATTACTTTTGAATCCCTTGTGCAGGTACACTTCTTCTTTTTTAAATACAAATTCCCATGCTCTTTTTACTTATTTTTAATATGGGTATATATATTTTTTGCCGCATAATAGCCCATATTTATGGAAAATAGCCGAACTGCTGGGCTCCTAATGGGTTAAGTCATCAGCTTTTGTCTGAGTTGATCCAATTGGCAGTCGTTTAATGTCAAAAAGTTCAGTGCAGTTGGCTTTATTATTATTTAGTTTATTTTTCTTTTTTTATGGCGCTGACAATTTGCAATCAGCCTCGTACGCAGGCAATTCAAAACGAAAAAATTTTTACAAGTTGTAAAGATTAAAAGTCCATTAGGCGTTTCGCAGCAGCCGCACGTAGAACTTGTTTAGATAGAGCAACGGGAGCGGGGCGCATAGCTTACAGCAGTCAAACCTCACTAGCAGCATCCACCAAAAAAGAAAAAAAACAACTAAAAATAAAAATAAAATAAAAGGAATCTTTGAACATGGCAGCGCAGCGATTTAAATGCGCGCAATGCAATCACTCAAATTGGCCAAAGCGCCGGAACGTGCAGATGGCAACCGCACGAATGGTTGAATTACATGAAATATTTTAATCCAAAAGATGCAGTTAAGTGCATCCATCAGCGTGTATTTAGTATTTAATAAATACGGAAGCGAGAACACGACTCGAACACGACGACGACGACGACGACGACGACGCCGACCACAGCCAACGACTGCCTTTTTGACGCATGCGAACAGACAGTCCTTGGCAATCCAGCATACACTCTGCGCTGCCAAAGAGGTATTTTAATTTATTTAAATTTTCTAGCCGCTCATATTACCGACTGCAATTTAGAGACAGCCAGCCAGTTCGGTTGGACAGACATCCTTTTGGGTCTTTGGTCTTGGTCCAGGCGCGCACACGACTTTGAGCTGCTTTGGCAAGCCCGTTTGCGACTTTGGCCAAGAAAAGTGAACATCCATTAGTTGTGCTAATGATGCGCAACCCACTTTGCCGCGTTCCACACCAGCCAACAGCTAGCAGCAGCAGCACCTTCTTAACTTGCCTCTTACACTCTGCTGTGTCCTGTCCCTCTTCTTCTATCCTGTGCTCTCTTTCCTGTCCTGGGCGTGTGGATTTAGTTTGCTATTTTGAAACGCATTTGGCTCGCTGGTTAGTTAGTTTTAGCCATAGCTGCACTTCTCCCTGTGTGTGTGTGTGTGTGTGTGTGTGTGTGTGTGTGTGTGCTAGTGGCTAATGCACAGTCAAAGTGGCTAAAACAAGACACGCACTAAAGAGCACACTGGGAAAAAAAGTATAATTTGTGGTGCTTGTCACAGTGCAATATTATTCTAATAAAATAAAATTATAGTCTGAGAAATATACATATTTCTTACAGGAAAACAATTCTTAAAAATAGATTAGTTTTTGTTTTATTGCAATGATTCCATACGAATTACATTTTTTAAAAACATTTTACATTTATTTTTATTACTATATACTCTTATCCAATAGACATCAATTTATTCAATAGACATTATTTTTATCTAGAGATAAACCTGTAAATATATACCATAAAATTGTGAATATTTCCCTTTTTATCTCTCCGCTTGTCATACTAACCATCAATTGATTCAAATACAATTCATAGGGTATATGACCGCTTATAGGATCTATGGCTACCGGCCACATTTCATCCATTTCCTCTTGGGTAAATGGCTCGCCTTCCTCCATCATCAGCTTGCCAAAGTACTCCTTGGTCAGGTAGCCCTTATTCTCAAAATCCAATGTTTTGAAAGCCTCAAGAATTTTCTCTGGCGGCGCTGGCTCCATTCTAATAATTTCTTAACTTTAATCTCTGGGTAAATACATATTCTTATTGGGAAACAACTCACTTGCGTTCCATGAGCAACTGGGAGACATGTGGCAAGAATTTGGTCAAATGCACCACGCCGCTTGTCTCCTCTGTTTCGGTGGCTGATATTACCTCATTGACCTCCTCTTCGGTGGGTACACAGCCCAACAATCTGAGAACTGTGCCCACCTCACGCACATCGATTAGTTTTTCGCTATGATGATCGAATACGCAAAATGCATCCGAAATGCGTTTCTCCAAATCGTTGTTAACTACAAATTTTGGTGAATTTTATTTTTTGAGAAGGTTTTAAGATATTAAAAAGCGCACTTACAATCAAAATCCATTGTCAGAAATTCGCAGACTGAAAGTAATTCACAAATGTTTGTTGAATCAATATTTCGGTGCGAAGGAGAAAACTCGGTTTAAGGTTGCTAGGTGATTATGGAGCGAGCAGTGCAGAGGCAGAGTGGTGGAGGAGGAGAAGAAGCATGCGACAGAGTTTAAAAGAGACACATAGGGTAAAAGTGGGTAACATTTTGGGAGAGAGTATTATAGTGATAGAGAGTGAAAGAGTGAGAGAGTTAGGCTTAGAGAATGAAAATGAATGAAATGAAAAAAACGTAGTCAAAAAGGATACTTAATGTTGTCTTGTTTCAATAATATGTTTAGTACTTTATTTTTCGGTTAAAAAAAAAAAAAAACTAAAAACCACTTTATTAACTGTTAACTGTTTTATAAGCATTCCACAACCATTTGCAACGAATACCAAAAGATGCTCTTAACCGCTTCAAACCGTATAAAATGGCATGGAATACGGAAGTATGGAAACCGTAACCGGGCCATAATGGTCAACTAGAGCCGAGCAACAAGTGCATTTTGGAGTTAAGCTCACTTTAATGGTAATTACAGCAAATTTTACTGAGAGACGTGACGTGGGGGGTAGAGGACTTGTCTGGACTCAAAGAGCGTATGCCACGCATTGGATTCGATTAAAAAAAAATAGTTGCAAAGAGCTGCAGCAGCAGCAACAGCAACAACTACTTCATTCACGCTAATGCGTGTCGTGTACAACACGCTTCAAGCCACTTGAGCTGTGCGCACTTGCGTCCAAGTTCTTGCAACAACACGAGCACACAAACACACACACACACACACACACACAAGCACAGTTGCGTATTGGCGGGGCCATCCAGTACGGTTGGCTTTGGCTTTGGCCATGGCTACTGCCATAAACACTAAAAGTGTTCGTCATTTGCTGTTCCAGATCCAATTAACCATTTTGATGCATTTGCCTCCATTAAGTTTTTTTTCTCTCTCTCTCTCGCTCTCGTCGGCTCGCCTGCTCTCCCTCTGCTGCTCTCTCGCTCGGTTGTAGACCCTTTGGCTCAGGCCTTGGACGCTGTTGCCTGCCTTTTGCAATTTCGCTGCCAGACTTACAACGTGATCGGAAGTTTGTCTTAGCCAACGTCGACGACGTGTCCGTGACTCCAAACTCCCTGAGTGCTCGTGTTGCAGTTGCAGTTGTTATTGTTGCTGTTGTTGTCTAGTGTTGTTGTTGCCTTGGTAAAGTACTTTGTAAATGTTGGCATGATTTAAGCCTAGCTCTTAGTCTCTTTATTCTGACATTTGCTCTAAGTTTGTCTATTAGGCATGCGATTAAAATTTAAATTGAAGTCGAACAGCCACAGCCGGGACTTGCTTTCAGTCCCGCCTCTTGTGTCATTTTTTTTTTCCTGTTGCCGCCCAGTTTTCAGTCGCCGCGCAACACTTCCGCTCGCCATCAGCCATCAGCTTGTGCTATTAGCATCTCGAGCGCATTTTGTGTTCATCTGTCAATTTCGACACCTGCCACAGACAGGACGGCAAGTTGTCAGAGCCTTTCGTCCGCTTCCTGTGGGGTGCCACATTTGCTCATCTGCATGGTTGAAACTGATTTCATTATGGCTATTTAAGGGCAGGAATATCATTATTTTTAACGCTTTGCAGCTTTATAATTTCCGTGACAACATGTTGCCGCTGCTCTACAATATTGATTATATAATTAATTAAAATTGTTTAATTAAAGTTTCAAAGTGTAAATCAATTTTTTTTTCTTCTTTTAAATATATGCATTTAAACGTAAAGCAATTGCACGCGACTAAACGTATGTTGAATTGTTGCTACCATAATATTATAATAATGGAAATATAAATAATAGAAATAAAACTTATAAGAATAATAATTTTTCGCCTTCTTATTCTGCTTCTCAAATTTATCGATTTCAAATTCAACCGAATATTATCTGCAATAGAGCTTATTTAAATGTTGCTTTTTATAGTTTTCCATATTTTATTTTCGATTATAATTTTCGATTAAGATAAAATCAAAGTCCCTGACCAATAAAACAAATACATATCAGCGTTTGTGAACATTCTAATAAATGTAAACAACTAGACTATATTTCGTACTTTTTGTACAAAGACCAATACAAGAAAATCTACAAACGTATTTGCATATGCGCATATTTATATCAAAGACCAGTTCCATTCAAACCATTTGCCCTTTTGCAACAAATACAAAGAAGTTTTTTCCATTAATATACAATTATTATTGCTTTTTTTAATTGCGTTACAATTCGCTTTGTGCGAGTTCGTGTGCGTGTGTGTGTGTGTGTGTAGATTGTGGTAATTAAATGGAATTTAATAAACATAAACATGCAAATAATGAGCGCTACCTTTCACAGCAGCCAAAATGGAAAAACTGTTTGAAAGAGTTGGCCCAGAAAACCTTTTGTTGAATTAATTAGAGTAAAAATGCGGCTGCCAGACAGCCAGATAAACAGCAGCCGCTGCCACAGCAGCAGCAGCAGATTGTAAACGTCTTGGTTAAAAACAGAATTCAATTCAAAGGCAAATGATATGAAAGAATTGATTAATAATCATAGCGAAAACCACAAAAGAGCTGCCTCATGAATGAGCCACCAAAACTGTGGCACAGATTGTGACTGTGGCTTAGACGGAGACGGTGACGGAGAGGATGGCGGTGGCGGCTACTGGCCAAAAAAGCGCTGACGCCATGCCCGACATGCGGACTCTCGCTTCAGGTCTCAGCTCCAGCTTTAGCCAAGGCCAATTGCTCGGCCACAATTGTAAGCCTGGGCGCAGCAGCAACACATGCTACAGCTGCTGCTGCTTGTTGTTGTTGTTGTTGTTGTTGTTATTCTTGCTGCTGCTGCTGCCGTGCTCCACATTCTCTGACGACTGGCGTCCAGTCATGTTTTGTTGGCACTGGGCAGCCGAGCCGACTCGACTTGACTTTGATTCAATTTCCATATGAAAACATCGATTTGCGTTTGCTCTCTCTGCCCTGCGCCCGCGTTGTCGTAATCAAAGTGTTGTTTATGGAACACGTCCGGCGTGCTGTTGTTGTTGTTGCTGTTGTAGTTGTTGGCTCGTTGGCTTGGCTAAAAATTGCTCGGGGCAACAATTGCGCGCCTCGTCTGAAAAATATGTAGCCAGCGATTACATTTGCCTATTGCATGGTCACACAGTAACAAAACAACGTATTGGTTTCAATATAAAATATGATTTTACATTTTTATTAAAAATTTGGCATTTATTTTCAGCCTTGAAGAGTTAATTAAAATTGAAGCTGGCTTAAAAATAAAAGATTTAAATTGAACATCATGAGAAATTGCACTTAAACCAACATTTTTTTCTGTGCAGCCAGTGGAATGACGAGAGAAAGAGAGGGAGAGAGCAGACGCAGTCCAACTCGCGTTAGTGTTACCAATTCAGCCGTTTTCCAGCTAATGTTGGCCAGTTTTTAGCCCCTTCATTGGCAATTCGTGCTGCTAGTTCAGCTAGCTTGTAGCTTTTTGAAACACACGCAGCACTGGCGCGCACCCGAAGCAAGCCGAGGCTAGTTATGATTGAGTTCTAATGAGTTGAGAAAAATGTATCAAGGAAAACCTGTTCCCGGAATCGCAATTAGATAAGTGGGTTTCATGCCTCAGACCCGTGAACTACAAGAAAGCGCAACAAACGAAACCAACAATTGTCCACCCAGGAGCTATCCAGCCAGCTCTCAGCTTGTGCTGGTATTAGCTTTGCGACCTGTCAGGAAATGGAAATTGTTTTCCATTGCATGGCCAACAACGGGGCAACGTTGTTGCAACAAATGTGTAGCACATTTTCCTATAATAAGGCGTTAAAAATATTTTGCAATTTAATTTATTGTCTCTCTCGGTGGATAGCACAGCAAAATTACCATATGTATATCTTGGCTTTTTAATAATAAAAAAGAGAACTCGTTTAACTGGTTGGTAAGTCGAGTGAAAATTTGCAAACTTGATGCTTGGCGGGAAAAAGTCAGGTGTAGCAAATGTTGGCAAATTTGAGAACATTATAAAATTGACGGGTTTGGCTAGAAACTCTTGCAAATCACAAGCATACCAAGCAGCTTAATATATTAAAGTCTATGAGACGCTAATTGCATATAAAATGAACTTTATTAAAAAAAAAATAAAAAAAAAAAACAATTTTATTTATGCTTTATTATATTGGTTGTAATTTTGTGGTTTTATTTAAGGACAGACATAAAGTTCATATTTTTTATCAGCTGCCACATACCACTTAAACTCTGCTCTATAAAATATTCATCTCCCTCGAATTCCATTTACTTTTCAACCCAATTCCGTGTTAGTCATTATCTAGCCATTAAAAATGTTTATAAGCAATTTTCTGCACTAGTTTACGTTCGATTAATAGGCGTAAAATATTAATGCACTGAACACGCCTTGTAGCTACCAAACACAAAATATATATATATATATATATATATAAAGAATAAAAAGTAAAGGGAAAGGTCTCTCTACAGACTCAACTGCTCTTCAAGTTAATTGGTTGGCCCCACGTTTCGCCCCTTCCGAATGCTTTACTTTCTAGCTATAAAATGGCCTACGCCCTAATGTGCGTGCCTTTCCAATTACAAAGTCGAACTTCAGATACGAGTTCAGCCCATCATTAGCTATCTTTACTAATGATATTTTAGAGGTACAAGTTGCTGAGAAGTTTTTTCAAGCGCCAAACATTTCGCATGCATGTGATAATGAATTTGGCGGTGCTTTGATTTTTGGCTTCTTTTTTTATATTTTGGTTCTGGTTCTGTGGGACAGAAAACAAGACAATAAATCAATAATTATTGCAAAATAATGCCCAATTTTTGTCCGCTGGCCAACTGCAGGCAGAAAGACAGGCAGGCAGCAAGTCGGGCGGACACGAGGGCAAGAAATTACAAAAACCAAAAAGATAAATTACAACGCCGCGTTGCAGGCGTATGACTTAATTTGCCAATTTGAACGCCAAAGGCTAAAGCGTACTTGCTGGCTGCTTGGCCAAAAAAGGCCAAACAGCTGCTTGCCGGCTGGCTGGTTGCGTCGAAACGCTTTAAACGTCAATTTCCGTGCCAATAACAACAACTACAAAAACAAGAACGGCACCGG